ACCCTGAATAAGCTTTATACAGAGTAAAACAAATTTATTTGGGGTTTGGATCCCATTGGGAACTGGGTGTCTGGGTGCTGGAGATAGGTGACCTGTTAAGCAGTTTTCAGTTAAAGTCTGCAGCTTTAGGGGTGTGGACCAGACCTGGGTCTGTGTTGCAGCAGGCTGGCGTGTCTGGCTTAACAAGGCAGGGTTCTGGAGTCCCATGCTAGCAGTGGAAAACGGGCTCAGAGGTCATTCCAGCATGTCAGATGACAGTCCCAAGGGGGTCTCTGTGATGGAACCCGTCACAGAGGATGTGTAGGGGGATAGGCGGGTGGGTGGGCAGATAGAGGGTTGGTTTCAGGGAAAGATGGATGGACAGATGGATCAGTAGAGAGATAGAGATTTGAATATGGGGAAGGATGGATGGATAGATAAAGAGGTGTGTACAGGGATGGGTGGGTGGATGGTAGAGTGGGTAGATAGATAGAGGGTTGGGTATGGGGAGGATGGTTGGGGAGATCAGTAAAGGGTAGGGTATGGGGAAGGATTGATGGATGGGCGGATGGATGGATGGGGATGAGTGTGTGAGGAGATGGGTGGGTAGATAGATAAAGGGTTTATATGGGGAAGGATGGATAGATGAGTAGATTGTTAAAGGGTTGGGTGTGGGTGGGTGGGTGGATGGATGGGTAGATAGAGGGGTGTGCAGGGGGTTGGGTGGGTAGAGAGATAGAGGGTTGGGTATGGGGAAGGATGGATGGACAGATGGATGGGCAGATAGATAAAGAGGTGTGTATGGGGATGGGGGGTGGATTGAGGTGTGGTAGATATATAGAAGGTTGGTTATGGGGAAGAGTGGGTAGATGGGTGGCTGGAAGGGTAGGAGAGTGTGTGAGGAGATGGGTGGGTAGATAGAGGGCTCCTATCGGGATGGATGGGTGGGTGGATAGACTGACGGATGGGTGGGTGTGGGTGGGTGGATGGGTGGATGAGTAGACAGATAGAGGGTTGGGTATGGGGAAGAATGGATGGACAGGTAGCTAGAGGGGCGTGCAGGGGGCGGGTGGGTAAATAGATAGCGGGTTCGTATGGGGACTGATGTGTGGGTACATAGACAGAGGGTTGTTTATGGGAAAGATGGTTGGGTAGGAGGGTGGGTAGACTGATAATAGGTAGGGTATGGGGAAGGATTGGGTGGGTGTGGGATGGATGGATGGGTGGGTGGATGGATGGAAGGGTAGAGGAGTGTGGGAGGAGATGGGTGTGTAGACAGATAGAAGGTTCATACAGGGAAGGATGGGTGGGTGGGTAGACTGATAAAGGGCTCGGTGGCGGTGGGTGGAGGGATGGACGGGGGACGAGATAGAGGATGGGGTATGGGGAAGGATGGGTGAATGGATGGGTGCAGAGATAGATATGGAGGTGTGTATGGGAATGGGGGGTGGATGGATGGGTGGGTACATAGATGGAAGTTTGGTTATGGGGAAGAACGGGCAGATGGGTGGCTCGAAAGGTAGGAGACTATGTGAGGAGATGGGAGGTAGATAGAGGGATCAGATGGGGAAGGATGGGTGGATGGGTAGACCGATAGATAAAGAGGTGTGTATGGGGATGGGTGGGTGGGTGGATGGGGAGAAGGGTAGATGGGGGATGGGAGGATGGATGGATCGGGAGAAGCACACGAAGAGGAATGGGGATTGATAAGTGGGTGGGTGGGTGGGGTTATTTATGGCTAAAGAGTTCAGTGTTGGGCTGGACGGACAGACGGCTGGAGGGGTCGGTATCTTTGTTCTGAGAGAGGCCAGGACATTTCTAGGCAGGGAATCTCCCCCCTTCTTACCTTGCTGAGGTGGGTTTCGGGTCCGGGCACCAGGCGCGGCCGCACCTGTCTGCTTCTATTCGGTTTCCCTGGAAGGCTCCGTCTCCAACTGACGCGGCCTCACCCATTTGTTTCCTCTTGGACTTTTATCAGCGCTTAAACATTCATCCAGCCACCTGCTCCCGGGCATGACTCACCCTTTCGCGCTCCGCCCACCTCCCCGGCACACGCCCCAGGGACACACCATGGGGGCTTGCCACGCCAGGCCAGGAGGGTGGGGAATGGGGGGTGGGAGTAGGGCCCAGCATGAAATAAGGGAACCAGGACCCCTGGGCTGGCTCTGTGGCTCGGGCAGGGGAGTGGGGTCTAGTGGTTAGAGCGGGGTGGGGGGGATGGGCTAGGAGGCAGGACTCCTGGGTTCTCTCCTCGGCTCCGGGACTGATTTTCACTGGATGTTCGGATGTTGCGGCCAGCGCTGACCAACCCACAGCGCCGTCGACGGGCCGATTCAGACGATTCCTGGTATTTACTGGGGCATCGTTCCAGGACGGGCGATTTCTCGCGGGGTCCGTGGCGGCTTCGTGGCCGATGGCTTCAGAATAAACTGCTGGTGTGGGCCAAACCTGCCCTGAGTGTCCTGGTCTCTGTGGGGGGAGGGGTGCGATTTCTGGGTTGACGCAAAGTCTGGGGTGGAAAAGGGAGTTTGGGGCAGGACGAACTGGTGGAAATGCGGCCGGGGGCGGGATCAATATTGTGTCCAGGGACCCATCTCGTGCAATGCAACCCAGCGCCCCCAGGCGCCGCCCTTGGGACATTGAGGCCAGCTCTGACCCCTAGGGGAGAGCGCCTCCTGCTGGGATCCCCCTCTCCCTACACCCCAGCGCGCTGACACCCAGTGGCCACTTGGGACAGGGCGTGACACGTCCACACGTGCTGCCGCCTCCGTATTGTCCCAGCCGCCCCAGGCCCTCGGCCGCGCGGGGAGGAAAGCGACAGGCCGAGGGCCTGGGAGAGCCCAGAGAGCTGAGAGCTGCCTGTGAGCAGATCCATGGCTTTGTAACGGCCAGAGCCTGGACAGGGAGGGATGGGGGTGTATGGGGCTAGCTAGGAGGGGCTATGGGGCTATCTGGGGGCTATGGGGCTATGGGGCTAGCTGTGGGGGCTATGGGGATAATGGGGGCCTATGGGGGTAGCTAGATCACAGATGACTGCAGGGAGTGGAGCTGGGTAGAGCTTGGTCACTTTGGCCACTAGGGGTCAGTGTCCCCCCCTCTATGGGATCCCCAGCCGAAGTTACCAGCTGGAGTGTCCTGAACTCAGCTCCCCCGGGGTCAATCTGGGCTCACTCCCACCCCGGGTGGGGAATGGGGTCAGGGCTGGGCTGGGCTAGCAGGGGGCTGCGGGTCGAGCGTGTGATGGACTCCCAGGCCCTGGGCTCCCTCGGCTCCGTATGGCCCCTGGGAGACCCCCCTTCGGTGTGACAGCCCCCCCACAAGGATCACCCTCCATCTCCGGGGTTAGGCTCTCTGGCCCCGCCACCTCCTGGGGCCGCACCTCGGAGCCTCCAGCCCACCTGGCTCCCTCCGTGAGCCCCCTTGGGGGGTCCCCTCACCCTGCCCCCCCCCCAGGGCCACCACCCCCAGAGAGAGCGACGCCCCCGATCTCCAGCCTGCAGGGACTCTCAGCCGGCGTAAAACAGGAGGTTTGTTGTACGGCTGAACCCAGCCCAGGCAGTTCTCAGGGGCCTGGGGCCTGGCCAGTCTCAGCCCCGTCCAGCTGGGTCTGTCCAGTTGGGTCCAGACCCGTCTTCATCTCCAGTCCAGAGCGAGCTCCTTGCAGCCGACCCCCATATCACCTCCCCACAGCCCCTCCTCCGTCCTGTGTCTTTGGTCCCACGCAAACCCATCACCGGGCTCCTCTCTCGGCCGTCCTTTGTGCTCCCAGTGGCCTGAACCCGGCGGGCTCCCGGGTCATCGGTCGCTACGTTACCCAGTGTCCAGGCTGCAGGGTGAGGTCACATCCGGGCCTCTGCGAATACAGCACCCCTCCCCCACCGCCTGGTTAAACATGCAGCACACGGGGGAAACTGAGGCACGCACCGCACTTACACAAAGCATCCAACCTCCACCCAACTTCATCACAGAGCGTGAGGGGCACCGTCAGGGCCGGGGGAGCAGGGGGCTGCGGGTTGGGAGTGAGGGGCACCGGCAGGGCTGGGCTGGCAGGGGGCTGCGGGTCGGGAGTGAGGGGCACCGGCAGAGCTGGGGGGAGCCCAGGTCAGGGGTACCAGGGGCTGCGGGTGGGAGTGAGGGCAGAGCCCCTATGGCCATATGAGGCCCAGCTGCAGCCCCCGCCAGCCTCAGGTGATGAGATCCTTCCTTCGCCCCCAGCGCTGCCCTGAGGCCAGCCCTGCCTGCCAGGACCCCTGACCTGTGGTCTGTGTGTGTCCCGGCACTGGGAGCCCATGTTTAGGAGGGAGCAGGGGGCGGGGATAGCTCAGTGGTTTGAGCATTGGCCTGCTAATCCCAGGGTTGTAAGTTCAATCCTTGAGGGGGCCACTCGGGGATCTGGGGCAAAATCAGTACTTGGTCCTGCTAGTGAAGGCAGGGGGCTGGACTCAATGACCTTTCAAGGTCCCTTCTAGTTCTAGGAGATGGGATATCTCCATTAATTATTATAATTATAGCTGGGGGCGAGGACATGGCTCACCTGAGCGGTTCCGCGCCTGGCCAGGTCAACACAGAGCGATTTTATTTGTCTCTTATAACAAACCGCATTCTCAAAACAGCTCAGAGTCATAGTCCTGGTGCACCTCCACCGCCCCGGGCCAGCATCCCTGGTCCCCTGAACTCACCACGGGAACTGGGGAGCGAATCCCAGAGTCCTGGCTCCCAGCCCCCCCCGCTCTAACCACTAGACCCCACTCCCCTCCCAGAGCCAGGGAGAGAACCCAGGAGTCCTGGCTCCCAGCCCCCCTGCTCTAACCACCAGACCCCACTCCCCTCCCAGAGCCGGGAGAGACCCCAAGAGTCCTGGCTCCCAGCCCCCCTGCTCTAACCACTAGACCCCACTCCCCTCCCAGAGCCAGGGAGAGAACCCAGGAGTCCTGGCCCCCGTACACCATCACTCTGAACATTCCTATCAGATCACTAGCACTGATGTAGGTTACTGGCTTGGGGATCCCAGGTGACCAGTGCTGGGCAGACCGGCCATGTGACGGTGGGTGGATCTTGTTGGCTGAGCTCCTTTAGCCAGAATTCCCGCTCCGCAGCGGAGAGAGATCGGCGTCGATCCCGATCCACTCAGGGAGGAAGGCGGCCGCAGGCTTGAAGATCTCAAGGAAGGGGGAATCGGGCAGGGTGTAGTTGGCCAAGTAGATGGTCTCCCCCCCAGCCAGGTAACCGGCCCAGATGCCGAAGGTCCCGATGGTCATGATCGTGTGGTTGCAATGGGCCAAGAGAGCAAAGTCCTTCCCCGGCGACGACTCCTTCCCGTCCCCGGAGAAATACACATCCCCCCGCGAGGCGTCGATGTTCTCCTGGCACCATTCCATCCCGTTGCTGGTCACCACGAAGACCGGCTCCCGGTACTTGGCCCGGAAGTAGCCCATGGCCTTCTCCAGGTAGGCCTTGTCCGCCACCACCCCCTTCCAGTGCTCGGCCATCACCTGGACGTAATCCCCCCTCCGGACGTGGACACCCACGTAGGTCACATTCTGGCGCTGCCCACGCAGCCCGGCCAGGTACTGGTTGGCCTCCTCCTTGACGTGGTCGTGGAAGGAGAATTCCTGGAGGATCTCCTGCCGGAGGTGGTGGTAGAAGGTCCAGGAGCAGGGGTAGCCCGTAAGCCAGACGTATTTCCCCTCGATGTGCCTGTACTCCTCCGACATCCAGTCATGGAGCTCGTAGTCCTTCCATGGGATCCTCGAAGCCCTGAATCTGGAGAGCACGGGCAGGGTGATGCGGAAGAGCGGCGCCAGCTGCTGGTGCATCTCCGGGAGGATGTAGGCCTGGTGCCCGTTCATCTTGGCCAGGGCGTAGAGGGTGGCGTATTCCCCCATCTGGTTCCCAAGACGCCCGGCGGAGTTCACGGTCCACATGCCCCGCTCCTTGGAGGAGGCAGATGGACTCTCCCCTGGGTTATTGAGCGAGGGGTTCCTCCACCCCAGGATGGGGAACTGGCTGTCCAGGCATAATAAGGCAGAGGCCATCAGGATAACCAGCAGGCAAAGGGTGATGAAGAGGGATGGCCGGCAAGAGACCCAGATGTCCATTAGCTTCATGTCACCAAGCAGCAGAGGGCAGGTGGAGTCCTGCCCTGTGGGGAGAGGGAGAAGGAACTTTAGACCCTCATTGATTGGTCTAAGTATTCAAAAGCTTAGTGACCATCTTCTGCTGGGATAAGAGGATCGGAGGATGGTTGGAGCGATGGGAAGGTGTGCTAGATAGCTGGGGGATAGGAACATAGGGAGGAGGAATGGATGGGTGGGATGGTATGGCAGGTACATGAGTGGATGGAAGAGTGAGAAGACAGGGAGAAAAGGTGGTGGATGGATGGATGGGAAGATAGGGAGGGTGTATGGATGGATGGGAAGGTAGGTAGGGTGTATGGATGGATGGATGAGAAGAGAGGTTGGGTGGATGGATGGATGGATGGATGGATGGGAAGATAAGAAGGGTAGATAGGTGGATGGATGGAATGGTGGGTGGGTGGATGGGAAGATGGGTGGGTGTATGGATGGATGGGTGAGAAGAGAGGTTGGGTGGATGGATGGATGGATGGATGGATGGATGGATGGATGGGAAGATAAGAAGGGTAGATAGGTGGATGGATGGAATGGTGGGTGGGTGGATGGGAAGCTAGGTGTGTGGGTGTGTGGACACATGGGTGAGAAGGGAAGTTGGGTAGGTTGATAAATGAATGGGTGGTTGGGTGGATGACTGGGAAGGTAGGGAGGGTGGATGTATGGATTGATTGGAAGGTAGGGAGGGTGGATGGATGAATGGATGGATGGGAGGTGTGTGGGTGTGTGGATGGATTAGTAAGAAGACAGGGAGGGAAGGTAGAGAGGGTGGGTGGGTGGATGCATGGGAAGATAGGGAGGGTGGATGGATGGGAAGGAGGGAGGGTGGATGGATAGGTGGGTGGATGGGAAGGAGGGAGGGTGGATGGATTGGTGAGAAGATAGGGAGGGAAGGTAGAGAGGGTGGATGGGTGGGTGGGAGGATGGATGGGAAGATAGGGAGGGTGTATGGATGGGTCGGTGTGTGGATGAGAAGGAGGGAGGGTGGATGGATGGGTCGGTGGGTGGATGAGAAGGAGGGAGGGTGAGTGGATGGGTGGGTGGGTGGATGGATGGATGGGAAGATAGGGATAGTGGATGGTTGGGTAGGTGAGTGGATGGATGGGAGGTGTGTGGATGTGTGGATGGATTGGTAAGAAGATAGGGAGGGAAGGTAGAGAGGGTGGATGGGTGGTTGGGTGGGTGGATGAATGGGAAGGTAGGGAGGGTAGATGGGGTGGGTGGGTGGGTATACAAATGGGAAGGAGGGAGGATGGATGGATGTGTGGGTGGATGCATGGGAAGGTAGGGAGGGTGGATGGATGGAAGGGTGGAGGGAGGTGAAGAAGGGAGGGTAGATGGGTGGGTGGGTGGATGGATGTGTGGATGGATGGGAGGGAAGGTATGTAGATGGATGGGTGGGTGGATGGGTGGGAGGAAAGGTAGGTAGATGGATGGATGAATACCCTTCATGAAATTCATCCATCCGCCCCCATATACATCCCCCCTGCTAATCTCTCCTTCCACCTCCACCTAGTAACTGCACACGAACGATGTTAACACAGAGTTCCCATTACCTGGCAACATCTCGGCCCTTCCAGAGTTTGGAGAGAGGCTAAATATCAACCTTTGGAAAACCAAGCAAGGAAGAATTTATCGAGCACAGACATCTGAAAGCAAGGACATACCGAAATAAGGCAAGGGCCAGCCAAGCAAAACTACCTTCACTCTGACCCTCTGCGGCTGGTAGCAGCCACTTGGAACTGCTCCGGGAGGCGTGGGTAGATAGATGGTTGGGTGTGGGGACAGCAGGATGGGTGGCCAGATAGCGGTTTGGGTGTGGGGATAGTTGTGTGGATAGATGGGTCATTAACTAGATAAAGGGTTGGGTGTGGGTGGATGACGGATGGGTAGACAAATATAGGGTTGGGTATGGGGAAGGATGGATGGGTGGAAGGGTAGATAGGGGGATCGTGACGTTGCACTCCATATGTTTATGGAAATATGCTTATGAGGGTAAATATAGTGGTAACTGGAATATGCTTTATGCAAAAGGTCTCTTGTAAAGTATCATTACAGATCTTATAATCTGCTGAGGGTGTTCATCCCGTTTGTATGAATGTATCATTCTTGTATCTGAAGCTAGAAATACGAAGTATTACTCTGAAGTCCTATTGTAATTATGCAAAGTGTGGGCCATTAATGGTGGCTTGGAATCTTGATGGCTCCCATTAACTAGGACAATTGGTTATGAATGGCTCTGTTTACTCGCAAACCTTAGAAAATAAGAACAGAAGAATGTCCAGACTGGGTCAGACCAAAGGTCCATCTAGCCCAGTATCCTGTCCTCTGACAGTGGCCAATGCCAGGAGCCCCAGAGGGGATGAACAGAACAGGGAATCATCACGTGATCCATCCCCTGTTGCCCATTCCCAGCCTCTGTCAAACAGAGGCTACGGACACCATCCTTGCGCATCCTGGCTAATAGCCATTGAAGGACCTGTCCTCCATGAACTTATCTAGTTCCTTTTTGAACCCTGTTATAGTCTTGGCCTTCACAACATCCTCTGGTAAGGAGTTCCAGAGGTTGACAGTGCGTTGCGTGAGAAAATACTTTCTTGTGTTTGTTTTAAACCTGCTACCTATTAATTTCATTTGGTGGCCCCTTGTTCTTGCATTACGAGAAGAAGTAAATAACACTACCTGATTTACTTTCTCCACACCAGTTAAGATTTTATAGACCTCCATCATATCCCCCCTTAGTCGTCTGTTTTCCAGGCTGAAAAGTCCCAGTCTTATTAATCACTCCTCATACGGCAGCCGTTCCAGACCCTTAATCATTTTTGTTGCCCTTTTCTGAACCTTTTCTAATGCCACTATATCTTTTTTGAGATGGGGCGACCACATCTGCACGCAGTATTCAAGGTGTGGGCGTCCCATGGATTTATATAGAGGCAATATTATATTTTCTGTCTTATTCTCTATCCCTTTCTTGATGATTCCCAACATTCTGTTTGCGTTTTGACTGCCGCTGCACGTTGAGTGGATATTTTCAGAGAACCATCCACACTGACTCCAAGATCTCTTTCTTGAGTGGGAACAGCTAATTTAGACCCCATCATTGTATCTGTATAGTTGGGATGATGTTTTCCAATGTGCATTACTTTGCATTTATCAACATTGAATTTCACCTGCCATTTTGTTGCCCAGTCACCCAGTTTGGTGAGATCCCTTTGTAGCTCTTCACAGTCTGCCTGGGACTTAACTATCTTGAACAGTTTTGTATCATCTGCAAATTTTGCCACCTCCCTGTTTACCCCTTTTTCCAGATCGTTTATGAATATGTTAAATAGGACTGGACCCAGTACAGACCCCCTGGGGGACACCACTATTTACCTCTCTCCATTCTGAAAACCGACCATTTATTCCTACCCTTTCTCTCCTATCTTTTAACCAGTTACCGACCCATGATAGATCCTTCCCTCTTATCCCATGACTGCTTACTTTGCTTAAGAGCCTTTGGAGAGGGACCTTGTCAAAGGCTTTTTGGAAATCTAAATACACTCTATCCACTGGATCCCCCTTGTCCACATGCTTGTTGACCCCCTCAAAGAATTCTAGTAGAACCATGTTGACGATTTCCCAACAAATTATGTTCATCTGTGTGTCTGACACTTTTGTTCTTTACAATAGTTTCAACTAATTTGCCTGGTACTGAAGTGAGGCGTACCGGGTGCCTGTAATTGCCAGGATCACCTCTGGAGCCCTTTTTAAAAACTGGCATCACATTAGCTATCCTCCAGTCATTTGGTACAGAAGCTGATTTAAATGATAGGTTCCAGATGACAGTTAGTAGTCCTGTTTGAGTTCCCTCCGAACTCCTGGGTGAATACCATCAGGTCCTGGAGACTTATTACTGTTTAGTTTATCAATTTGTTCCAAAGTCTCTTCTAATGACACCTCCATTTGGGACAGTTCCTCAGATCTGTCACCCAAAAAGCATGGCTCAGGTTTGGGAATCTCCCTCACATCCTCAACAGTGAAGACCGATGCAAAGAATTCATTTAGTTTCTCCGCAATGGTCTTATCGTCCTTGAGTGCTCCTTCAGCATCTCGATCGTCCAGTGGCCCCACTGGTTGTTTAGCAGGCTTCCTGCTTCTGATGTATTTTAAAAAAACTTTTGCTATTACTTTTGGAGTCTTTGGCTAGCTGTGCTTCAAATTCTTTTTTGGTCTTTCTAATTATATGTTTACACTTCATTTGCCAGAGTTTATGCTCTTTTCTATTTTCCTCACTAGGATTTACCTTCCACTTTTTAAAGGATGCCTTTTTGCCTCTCACTCCTTCTTTTACTTTGTTGTTTAACCACGGTGGCCCTCTTTCTGGTTCTCTTACTATGTTTTTTAAATTGGGGTGTACAGTTAAGTTGAGCCTCTATTATGGTGTCTTTAAAAAGTTTCCATGGAGCTTGCAAGGTACGTGCAACCTTCCTGGGTACATGCCTGCCAACCCTGAAAGAATGGAGAATGACGTCTTACGGTGACATGTGATCATGTCATCTGATACTGGAATCCATTGTAAACCTGGTGCTTTTCCATTTAGAAGGAGGGGTGGGGACCCAGAGGAAGAAAAGATTCCCCCCTTGTGCCAAAGCTATAAAAGGGGGTGGAACAAAACAAAGGGGGCCAGTCATGTGGAATCCCCTAGTTACCACCTGAGCTGAAGCTAACAAGGACTGTACCAGGGAAAGGATTGGGCCCAGACTAGGAAGGAGTCTAGTCTGTGAAAGAAGCTATTGGAACATCTCTGAGGGGGAGATTTTATCTGTATTCAGTTTCTTAAT